GAGAAAGCCCACTTGCGGCAACGAAGACCCAACGCAGCCAAAAATAAATAAATAAATAAATTTATTTTAAAAACCCATAAAACACAGGAAGGGCCAGGAGGGAGGAGCCGGGCTGAGTATCGGCCACAAAGAGCGAGGAGGCTGAGGGTGCAGAGCGTGGCCACCTCGCCCTGTGTCCATGGGGACCTGCCTGCTCCTCTCACCCCTGCCCCGACCTGAGCAAGCCACTGGGTCGGGGGTAGCCTGGCCCCAGGCAGGCTGCAGGGGTGCCGACACCTGGAGATGGTGCCTCTCTCCCTGACAGCCTACCAAGCTCCCTCCTCTTTAGTCTCTACAGTGGGAGGGACCCCTGCCCCGGCATTTTACTCACAGCTGAAGGACTGAGCAGGCACTGGGTTGCTAATCCACCGCCCTTGCCCTTCCAAACCCCAGGCAGAGCGGCGTTCCTTTCCTTCCGTTAGTCCCCTTTACAGACCGGGCAGGAGTGCCCACCCCTTGCAGGTCCTACTTGTGGCTCCAGCACGGGTCTGTGATGGGGGTACAGATTGGCTTCGGAGAACCGGGGATCCCTAAACACCCCTGGCAGGGACCCGGTGTCAGCACACAGACCCCGCTCCAGCCTGGAGGCTGAGTCAGGGCCCAGCGGGGTGGACAAAGCCAGCAGGTGTGAAGTCAAGCCTGCAGCTCAGGGCTGGGCCCCTGTTGGGGAGGGGGATCCAGAGGCCCACCTCCTGCCCTCCTGCTGTCTTACAGATCAGCCCGCAGCAGCCGGGCCTGGCAGTTCCACTGAGGGTGGGGTCCTCATTTAGGGGCAGGAAGTTGCCGAAGGCTACTCTGGGGATTAAGACTTGCTCACCTGGCCCCAGACTCCTCCCCGAAAGCCCTTCTCTGGGGTCAGCCTCTGCTTCCACTGGACCGTCTTCTCCAGCTGGGAGCCTTGTCCAAGAGCGCGCCCACAGCTGGGGCGCAGGAGTCCGGGACTGCTAGGGTGAGGCACCGCCTCCCAGACCCCGCGTGGCCTTGGGCTGGAGGTGCAGCTGGGGGTGGGGCACCTGTCTGCACAAGTGCCTCTGGCCCCTTCCCCATCCCCTCCAGGCCTCAACCGGGCCTGCAGGGCAGGTGCACCGGCCAGAGTGAGGGGCCTGCGGTGCCCCGGGCCGGCTGAGGCTCCTGGGCAGGCGAGTTTGGGTCCCTCGCACAGAAGGAAACTGGGTGAGTATTCTGGTTTCTCGTTAGAAGCTGCAAACCCGTGGCTCTCTCTGCACGTGAATTAGGGCAGCACCGTTTTGGTTTCTGGATGCCTCCCCTCGGTTTAAATTGGACGCTCCAATCTTCTTCCTCTTTTGTCCTAAATTTCCCTCTAACATTTAGTGCAGCTGTTAAGCAGCTGCTCGCTGCTCCTGCTCCCGAGAAGGCTGAGGGCCAGGCGGCTGCGGTGACTCACCTCCTCTCAGGAAGGACAGCAGGGTCTGGCGCGGAGTCATGCCAGGGTGGGCACGGCAGCTTGGGGGGCAGTCAGTGCCTCCATAGGATGCAGGTGAGAGCTGGGCACAAGCTCCCCAGGGAGGAGGAGGACAGGATGCAGACAGGACTTGGGAAAGGCTTCAGCCGCTGCAGCTAGAGACACCCAGGTGAGACAAGCAGAAGGACTTCCGGGGGCCAGGTCCTAAACAGTGGGGCCGCCTTTCCAGGAATAACTCAGCAAAATGCAAGCACCCATGCCCGTGGGCACTTCTGGAGGGAGACATCCCGCCCCTGAGACCCAGCTTACAGAGGCCTTGAGTGACCCTGGACACCGTCGTTGAGAAAGTAGAGGGCCTACTGAGTGCGATCCCTGGGGATGCAGGGGCACCTATGGTCTGAGTGTGTGTGTGTCCCCCAGGTTCATACGTTAAATCCTAGACCCCAGGTGATGGTATTAGGAGGTGAGCCCTTGGGGAGATGACTAGGTCATGAGGGTTCCACCCTCAAGAATGGGATTAGTGTGGTGACCTCATAAAAGAGGCCTCGGGCTTCCCTCGTGGCGCAGTGGTTGAGAGTCCGCCTGCCGATGCAGGGGACACGGGTTTGCGCCCCGGTCCAGGAAGATCCCACGTGCCGCAGAGCGGCTGGGCCCGTGAGCCATGGCTGCTGAGCCTGCGCGTCCGGAGCCTGTGCTCCGCAACGGGAGAGGCCACAGCAGTGAGAGGCCCGCGTACTGCCAAAAAAAAAGAGGCCTCAGAGACTCTCGCCCCCTCCACCACGTGAGGGCTCAGAGAAGACGGCGTCTGTGATCTGGGAAGCCGTCCTCATCAGACATCGACTCTGCCCACTCCAGGACCTTGGACTTCCACCCCCACAAGTGTGAGGACAGATGTTTGCTGTTTGCGAGCCACCAGGTCTGCGATATTCTGTCCTGAAAGGGCCGAGACGGGACAACCCCATTCACTCACCGCTCATTCCTTCGACCACTGCGTGCAGAGTGCCAGGTCCCCTTGAGAAGGGCCTTCTACAGGCTGTCCCCTTGGGACGTGTCTCTGAGGTCAAGACCAGGGCCATCCAATCCGCACCCCCCAGCAGGGCCTGCAGTCCCCACCCCTGGCTTCCGGCACCTTCCTGGAGAAGGGAGCCAGGAGAGCTTGGCCACAGGCCGGTCTGGGTCGCAGGGGACATCAGAGCCCGCTGCACCCTCTTCTGCAGCCCCCGCCCCGGGAGGAAATGCTGGCCTTGGGCGGTACTCCCCAGAGCCCTCTCCCCGCCCCACTGGGAAGAGCCGTGTCCAGCAGCCCCGTCCACTCGGGCTGTGAGTCCAGACTCCCCTTATCTCACAGGAGGAGCTGGTGGTGGAGAGAAGCAATCCCTCCCTCCCCAGGGGCAGGGCACAAGGCCCTTCCCCACGTGAGTGGGCTCCGACAACAGTGACCAGCTGACCCCAAGCAGGAAAGGCAAACGGAGCCAGGACACCAGCCTCCCAGCTGAGTACAGCCCACTGTCTTCCAGGCAGGAGCACGTGGATAATGGCCATCAGGGGCCTCCCGTTCCCGGGGGCCCGAGCCCCCCAGCGCTCTCCAAGAGCACCTAGAGGGAGCCCTGGGCACAGAGGGCAGCAGGGCCGGGACCCATCCAACTGCCCTGCCCAGAGCCTGGGTGAACAGGGTAGGGCCTGAAACTGAGGACACACACAGGCACGTACACGTGTACATACGCACACAACGGCACGTACACGTGTACATACGCACACACAGGCACGTGCACGTGTACATACGCACACACAGGCACATACACGTGTACATACGCACACACGGGCACGTACACGTGTACATACGCACACACAGGACTTGGGACGCACCGGCCAGCCGCATGGCAAGAGGAGGGGGGTGGGTCAAAAATGGCGGCAGCCGCTCCGCAGCGCGCCTCGGTGGCCCGTCTGCTCGGGACACGGGTGGGTATGGAGCGCGGGCTGAGTCAGCCCAGGCCGTGGATTAGGAAGATAGTCGTGTTCACGGGGCACTTTTAGGCATTGAGGGAGCTGGGGAAACAGGGTCATCGCAGTACAATTTGAAAAACATACAAATAATTCGTGCTACCATTATGTCACCATGCTGTGGTAAACGACGAATTCCCACTTAAAAGCCAGATTTCTATCATCAAAGGGCTGCCCACAGCCACAGGCGGCAGAAGCCCTCTCGGTTCTGCAAAGCAAACTCCACAGGTGGGCATCCGGGCAGCAGCCCAGGCCTGGAGGAGGCAGAGCTGAGCGGTGGGGCCAGGGGGGCCCCCGGGCTCATGGGACAGAAGGGACAGGGGTGCTCTGGGCCGGAGCGAGGCCCAGCGCCGCCAGCCAAGGTGGCAGCACGGTGGGGGGAGGGGAGAGGGCGCAGGCACACACCGGAAGTAACTGGAAACCCGTTCTCTGGTCAGGTGAATCCCTTCACAAGAGCAGCCGGTGGTCAGAGTGGGCAGCAACATTCCTACCAGCAGGGCCCAGGTTGTATGTGGGAGCTCCCTGCACACCTGGCTGTGCCCGGCCCTGGGCCAGACCGTCCGCCTCCCCATCTTGGCCTTGGCCAGCCAGTGCCTGGCTCCTGACCCCAGTGAGGGCAGGAAGGTGGCCTCCACTGCAGGACGGCCGGCTCCTTCCGCACGCACAGGAAGGAAGGGCCCACAGCCCTGCCCAGCCTCCGGGGCCCTCAGCTCGGGGACGGGCCTGCTCCCGGGGCCACCTAGTCTGCACTGATTCTGTGTGAACATCCATGCAGCGTGCCAGCCAGGACTGGTCGTTGGTGTCTAGGGAAGCAGAATGGAGCACTGTTCTGGTCCCCTCGGGTAACGAACAAGGGTCAGACCCTTGCTTTGGACTCCGGGGCTTTTGTCTGAAGAAGACACTCTCTAACCAACCACGGATTCACCGCGGGGTGAACTGCGGTGTCCAGAGGGACAAGCTGGCGGGGGGCGGGGTGGGGGGTGGGCGCGGCTGCCCCAGGCCCCACCCACTCTGACCACACGGCCCTCCAGCCCGCACGTCCCCCACTTCCCGGGATGCTCGCCCCACTTCCATGGCCCTCCCTGTACCGGGGATGCTGAGGAAGGTCCTGCATCTTACGGGACCCACAGAGCTGGCACCTGCCTGCCCTGGGCTCAGGGCCTGCCCCAGCGTCCACCTGGGCCGCCTGTCATTCGGGGCCCTTGGGGGTCCTGGCTTATGCCCTGCCCCCTCTGGCCCAGGCTGCTCCCATCAGCTGGCCAGTCCGCACGGGTGGCAGTACCCGCCCTTTTCAGCCTGTGCCTGCCCCGGGGCTCCGGGTCACCTGGGTCAGGGTGGCAGGTGACCACTGTTGGACCAGCCAGAGGTGGGGGAACTCTGCCCGCCCTGGGCTCCTGGGAGCCTGCACGTGGCCAGGTTGGCATACTTGCCGTCTCTTAGGAGGACGAGCTGACTTCCTGGCTGTGGTGGCCGTGCCTGAGCACCCTCCCGTGAGCCTCTTCTGCATCGGACCGTGGATGTGCCTGTACGGGGGCGCCTGGCACACCGCCCGCCCGCCCGCGCAGGCCCTCCCAGCATCAGTCTGCCACCCCCACACCCCGCCCCGGGTGCAGTGCGGGCCACACAGCGAGAGCCACAGCAACCCTGCCTGAGGCCCCGGGTGACACAGCTGCCAGCCTGCCTGGGCATGTTGCCCGGCGGCGGCTGGGGGAGGGGCGGGCCCACGAGCCCTGAATCAGCTGCTCCCGCGTGGCCCTGTCCCCTCCAGGGCAAGGATGCTGGTGAGGCGGGGGGAGGGGATGGGGGTGGGCCCTCCATCTTTGGGGAGCTGTCAGGCTGCCGGGGATTTTCTGGAAAGCCGCCCCTGCAGGAGCCAGGCCTCCTGGGGGATGAGAGGAAGGACCTTCCCGGAAGAGGGCCTTTTCCAAACAACACCAAAAAGGGAGAAGGGAGAGGACCGGCCTGTGCCGAGGGAAGGAAGCGCTGAGTCAGCAGCAAGCCCTGCCATCCTCCCTCCTCCAATCAGGCGCTGGAGCAGACAGGGACCTCTCAAGGTCAGGGAACATCAATGTCCACAGGCGGGTCCCAGCGGACGGCCCTTCCTCCGCAGCGGCCCGGGGGTCCAGCTCTGGTCCGGAGGTGGGCTGTGCCCGCCCTGGCCGCCCTCGGCGGGGGTGCTGTGTCCCTCCCGCTGGGCTTGCTCCCAGGCAGGCGGGGCGGTGGTACCACCGGGGGACGAAGAGGGCATCTTCGAGGGCACCTCGTCCACCCCTGCCCGGGGCCTGGGCGGCACCTGGACTTTCTCAGAGAACCGTGTGGCTTCTAGAAATTCCTTCTTGCCATTGCCTCCCTCCCACTGTTGGCTCACCTCCCACCGGCAGCCCCTCCCACCCTCCGGGCCGGGGTCCCTCAGCACAGGGAGGGCCGGCCCCACGGGCGGGCCAACAAGAGGCCCCCACACCCGGTGCAAAGGAGGCCACCACGAGGCCCTGTTCGTTGTTGAAGGGAAGCCTCTCTCCCCTCCTCCCCGCCCCCACCCCACCGCTGCCGGCTTCTGCCCCAGCCTTGACCTCCTGCTGCCCGGGATGGCCGCCCCCAGATCTGACCGTCCTCTCCCCAGGCCGCCAGGCTCCCAGTGCCCCCTCCGACTCTCCCAGGCCTCGCCCCGCCCCCAGCTCTCGCTGGGGCACTGCTCGTCCCCTCCCCTGGCCAGCTCCCTTCTCTGTGGTCACACTGCCTGCCCCCCCCCCCCCCCCCCCCCCGACTCCCAAAATCAAGGCCCGGTGTCACCACCACCGTCCAGGTGCTGTCTCCCCCCCAGCAGCGGCGCTGCTCCCAGGGTCCCCGGGCTGAGACCCCTCTCTGGACGGTGCCCGAACTGGTAACTAGGGCACAGTCTGGGCAGAATGCCCCTGCCTCCCTGCGGTGGCCGGCTCAGCGTGCGCTCTTTGAAAATGGTGACTGTCCCCCCAGGGGGACATGGGGTTCGTTCAGCCCGGAGGACGGGCTGGTGGCTCCCGCACCAGACGGTGCAGACAGCACCCCCACCACACACGAGTCCTGCTGGGCAGCGCCGGTCTAGAGACCCACTGAAGAAAACGCTCCAACCTGCGCAAAACCAGGGGAGGCCAGGCCAGGAGGCCTGTGGACGCTGCAGAAGGTGGGCAAACCCGAGGCTCCAGCGCGGCGAGAGGACAGATCTGGGGCAGTGCTGCCCACTGCCAGCCGCTCCCAGTGAAGCCAGCACGCCCGAGAGTGGTCTCCCGGCCGGGAAGCCGCATCCCCACCCGCTCCTCGGCCAGGCTTTGTGCAGCAAACTGCCCCTCCCAAGGGTCCTCTGCCACTGCTCGGGGGGCCAACTGCCCCTCCCAAGGGTCCTCTGCGACTGCTCGGGGGGCCAAGGCTTTTGCGAGGACTTTACCAGCTCTGCCACCACAGGCTGAACCCCAAAAGGACTCAGACTGTTTTTTTCTGAAACGTCAAGTTCCACAAAATTCCAGAGATAGCAGCTACGCCGCTCTGTCGTGGACCCCCAGCTCTTCCGGGGCCACATTTCTGGCCACACTGGCTGCGTGGAAGGGCATCACCCTCATCATCACGTGGGAGGAAGTCTTTGCAAGGGAGAAACGTGAGCGTCCCCTGCACAGAAGCCAGGGAAGCCTTTCCACGATAGAGATACTAACTAATAACCTGTCACTCGTTTTCCAATTGCTTTTTGGTTACACAAGGATTCCTAACCCTGGTTTCCTTCCAGTTTTTCTCCTGTGGGTAAGCGTCTCCCCATCCGGCTGCCGTCCTGGCACTTGAGGGCGTCATCTGTCTGATAAGGACGATACACACTTGCCTGTTGGTTGAACTCAGCCCTCCTGGACCTCACCAGGCCCCCCGCTTGGCCAGCGCTGACAAATTCTCGCTGCCTCCCCAGCCAAATCCCCAGGACAGGCTCCAGCGGTGGGGCCCCTGGACTCATGGCAGGGTGGCCCTACAGCCCATCACACTCCTTCTCCAGCATGGCAGACGGCTGCTTTGCAAGGTTCGGATCTGACTCGTGAAGAACGGCATCTGTGGCATTTGGGGCTGCTTATATCCTTTAAAAAAGGTATAAACGTTTTGAGCTTCAAACAGTCACGCTGTCAATGTGTTAAAAAAATAAGTTTAATGCAGGTGGCTCACTTCATAAAGAATTTCACAGGCACTCAAGACACCAAGCAGCTTTGTGTCCACACCACCGTGACCCCCCTGCTGCCCCAGCCCCGTGGACACGTGCCCACCTCAGAGGGGGCCTCAGAGTAACGTGAGTCAACTAACACAGAACAAAGCTTTTAGGAAACAGCATGATTTGGTGCAAAACGTCCTCTGCAGCGCCGAGAAGTGGGGTCCGTGTGGGTCGGCTCCTTGCCTGCCGTCCAGGTAACCGGGAGAGACTCACCCCCCGATTCCCTCGGAGGAGCCGTCCACTGACCTCGAGTGGACAATCGTCCGACAGAAGCTGGCTACAAATTAAAGAGCACAGTTTACAGCCAAGTGTTTTTTGCCTCCTTTACCTGATTTGGCTTTTTTTTCCAGTGGCACACAACTGCCCCGACAGCTCCCCCTGGCCACTGGGGGACCCGGCCAGGCAGGGTTGAAGGGGCTACCGCCCGTGCCTGCGGGTGTGGGGACAACTTGGGGTGAAGTAGCATCGGCCTCCCTGTCACCCTCAATATGGGGCCCTATGTCCCGCCTCTGGCTGTTGTCCCAGCTGAATTATTCAGTGCCCCTCGCCTGCCCACAAGGCCTGCGGCTACCCTGTCCCCATCTGATGGAGGCCACGGTGAGGGGTCTGGGCAAAACTGGCCCTCTGGTATGTTCTCTCTGCAACCGGAAGCACCCCTGGACCACTGGTTCTTTCCTGGCCCACATTCATTTTTGCTTTGTACTCCCAGCTGCTCTAACAACCGCCGAGGCAGGGACAAAGGGGCCACCGAGCTCCTCACTCGGAGGTCCAGCCCTGGTGCAACCCTGATTCCAAGAGGTGTTTCTTCCAACAGACACGTCTCGAACCTGGACGTTCCCTGAGGGGAAGAGACTGAAAGCCCCCTGAGGCCAGAAAGAGACTGAGTTGCCTCCCCAGAAATCCACACTTGAAGAGTGGAGCCCTGGACCCGGCACTCCCCTGGGCTGGCCCCTGATCTAGGCACTGACAGGCAAACCGAGGTGCCGCTGAAGCCCGGCCTGGGACTCAGGACCCCCACGCCTCTCAGGGTAACAAATGGAGGAGCGTCCGTGGGCTGAGTGAGGACTCGGTGGCCCAGGGCAGAGTGAAGAGCTTGGTGGCAGTGTGGTGCACCAGCTGGTGGAGACTGACGCTTCCCCAAGGCTAGGGCGGGGGGCCGGGCGTGCACAGGAGGGGGCTGTGCGGCCAGGAGGATCTCCCCTCCAGATCTGCACCTGGGTAGCACACCCCTCCCGGGGACCTCCAACACCACTGGTGACACCATTGCCCTGGAGAGGGGACAGGGACACAGGCTCTCCAAGTACAGACTGGACCCATACCCGTCCCCCCCCTGCCCCCCCGCCCCGGGAATAGCTTGGAAAGTGCAGGCTGGAACCACAAGCAGGTGGCGCAGGGGACACCGCACCGAAACCACACACAGAAAGGGTCTGAGCAAAGGCCAGCAGGAGGGAGGGCGCCAGTGTACCCTTCACAGAAGTCTCAGCCCTTTCCTGAGCCAGAGACGCAGGCGCCGGGGCGGGGTGGGGGGGTTATGCCTCTGACACAGGGCAGAAAGGGCCCCAACCTACCGCGTCGAGAAAAGCGCCCACTGCAGGTGCATCTACGGCCGGGTCACCGGAAACCGTCCCCGGAAGAGCCCGCGGCGCCCTCACATGTCCACGAAGACCATGAAGCACCAGCCCAGGCCCCCGACCAGCAGCATGGTCACGTGGATGCCGTAGACCAGCAGCTCGTTGAGGAGGCGGAAGTCCACGCGCCGACGGCCCAGCAGCAGCAGCAGCGCCGACAGCTTGAGCTGGAAGCGCAGCAGGACGCGCACGCCCAGGTACTGCAGGCAGAAGAGGGCGGCCAGCGCGCCCCACAGCGCGGCCGTGAAGAGGCTGCAGCTGAAGTAGAGCAGGAAGCGGATGAAGCCGTAGAGCCAGCGTGCCCGGACGTACACGTCGAAGTTGTTGTACTTGGTGCGGGCCGGGCGGGAGGCGCGTGCCGGGCCGCAGGCGGCGTGCAGGCAGGTGGTGTGCGGGCCCTGGAAGGAGCGCACCCGCCGGGGGATGGGCATGACCGGCATTGGGCCCAGGGCGGCAGTCAGCATAGGCGTCGTGGGTGCCTGGGCCTGGGAGGCCGAGGCTGAGTCCCGGGGGAGGCGTGGGCCTGCAGGGAGAGCGACACGGAGAGGAGCCAGGTCAGCCGGGACATCAGCCAGCGCGGGGCCGCAGGGAGACCGAGTCTGGGACTTGGGATCCGCTCACATTCCCCGGGGTTACTCTTTTCATAATTGCTACCGAGGACACTCCAAAGGGAGCCCCAATCACGTGGGAACCAAAATTCCACCAGCGACACCGGGAAGAAGGGTCAGGACAGTGGCCGCAGGCCCCCTGGCAGTCAATGCCAAGACCCACGAGGAAGGGCCGACAGAAACCCTGGCTAACCGCCCCCTCCCCCAGGCTCGGCGAGTCCCCTTCACTGGACTCACCGTCCGGCTTTGATCTGGGATGCCCATGCCTGCCTGCGCTTCTGTGGCTGCTTTATCCAGGGCGAATAAGTCCCCGAGTGGCAGCCACACAACAGGACAGGACGAGGGAGAGGGTGTCCACAGGGCAGACGGGGGCCGTTCTCTTCAGCAACTTGACAGGCCAAGTGCTGGGGACCAGGCAGCCGGCACCGGGCTCTGGGCTCCCCTGCGGGGCCTGAACCCTCGTGCTGTCGTTCACCAGGAGTGACCTTTGCCAGGTCACCTCACCCCCCGAGACCGTCCCTGTTCCGCACAACGGGGATGTCGAGCGCTGGGCTCGCAGGGGTGCTGTGGTTATAGGCAAATGGAACGTTTCCGGGCAAGTGCTGCCCGTGCCTGGCGGAGAGGATGGCGGCCCAGGGCCAGTGGTGTTGTCGCAGAGCACGGGCCCTGTGGCTTGGGCCGCCACAGGAGAGGAGAAACGGCAAGTGGTTCTCTAGTTCTGCCTGGCAAGCGTCATTTATAGCTCGCCTGAATCGTGGCTGGAAACACAGAACTGGGAGTTCGGGACGTGTAAAATCGGAGCAGCAAAGTTGGTTACAGGCTCCGGGGAGGCACTGCCGAGGGCATCTGCGTCCCATCGCATGGCTTGTAGCCTGAGGGCCTGCAGGGGGATTTCTGCTAGCTCCCTCTCCGGCCGCCCACGTGGTGCTCTGGCCGGAGGCGGAGGAGGGGGAGGCCGGGCGCGTCCACCCTCCCCTGCCCACAGCCCCAGCCCTTCCCACAGGCTTCGGTCTGAACGCGGTCTGACAGCAGCTAATGGCACTCAGATGTCGGTGCTCCCTTCACGCGGCGGAGTCGCGCCTCGGGCGGGCCGCTCGCCATCCTCCCATCGCCACCTGGCCGCGGGCAACGCATGTGCGCCACGGGCTTCCAGGTCGGGGCCGGGGCGTCCGCGCGGCACCCACGCGCTCGCTTCTGGGGGGTGCCGGGCCCCAGATCCCGGAGGCAGGGCCGACCCGTAGCGCCCCCGGGAGCCGCCCCCGCCCCGCCCGGGCACCCCCGCCCGCTCACCGGGTGCCCTCTCAGCGCCGGCGTCCCGAGCCGCGCGGCCCCCTGTCCCTCGGGGCTCCGGGAGCAGGGCGGCCGCATGGTGCCGACGGCGCGGCCCGGACCCTCACGCGTCCCCGCCCGGGGCCGCCCCGAAGGGCCAGGGGCTCCCGCGCCCGGTGGCCGGCGGCGTTTGGCCTAGCGTGGGAGCCGTAGCGCCGTCCCTCTGCGGCCACCGTAGGACTTCCCTCACGCCCCTCCGCCCGAGCTGACACGGAGAGCGTCTCCCTTCCCCCAGCTCCGTGCCGACACCGAGCGCCCGGAACTCGGCGCTTCCCCTGGGCGTACGTGCGTGCGTGCGTGCGCGCGCGGCGCGGCGCGCGACCCCTGACTTTGCCAGCCGACTACACCACCCCGCCTACGCCGCCGGGGCCTCGGCCCGTCCTGCGCAGGCGCAGATAGCGGACGTGCGCCGCCGAGTCCCCGGGCAGCTCCTCTGCTCATGCTCCGCTGCACCCGAGGCGGTTGGCAGTGCGCAGGCGCGGGCCCTACGGGCGCAGCTGTTCTTCCGGCCCTGGGAGAGCGCTTGCCAATGGTCCCGAGATCGGTCGGGGTCCTGCGTGTCTGCCGCCCGGCGAGCCTGAAGCGGACTGCGTGACACCACCCATGGACGCACGTCCCCAAATGTAGGGAAGACTGGCCGGCTGACCACCCACGGACACCAAGGTCCCCAAGTGTAGGGAGTCAGGGCGGGCTGGCTGACACCCACGGAGCCCTGGGGTTGCCCTTTGCCAGGAGAATGAGGATTTCGGTGTAGACGTGTTTAAACATTTTAATCCGATCGAGGTTAGGGTGGGGGAAACTTCACGCGCCTTGGATTTAGTCGGCAAGTTCTATTTGCCTGAATTCTATCAATTGTGGAGAAGCTGCTAGTTGCACACACGTGGGAACGGCTGGTTCTGTTCCCCAGTGCCTGCAGGTCCTGGTCCTGGTCGCTGTTTTGGATACTGGACGCTCTGATAGAGGCCAGCTCCTCGGGCATCCTTTACAGAAGACGGCTGACCCGCCAGGTCGGAGAGCCTCCACCTGCAGGAGCCCCTACCTGCAAGCACGTCACCTTCCCTTGCAAGTCCTGACCCCGACCCGCCCACACCCTCGCCCTGTCGTGTAGGAAGGGGTCAGATGCCTGCGGGCACGTGTGGTCCTATCCCTTCAGCTGCAGCTTTGCTGGTGAGGAGTCTGGCAGCGTCATGCTGGAGAGGGGAAGAAGGGGCCCAGAGAATTTTGAGAAGTTTCTAGATCAGGCGAAGTGGCAGCAGGAGAGGATGGGAGAGAAGAGGGATATTTTAAGAAGTGATTCTTAAAATGCATCTTCTCTGCTGCTGGGTTTCCACAGTGGCCCCCTGCTTTGCACCCTACCCCAGGGTGCTGGTTTTTTTCCCTAGACCCTGGTCCAGCTCTGTCCCCTTGAGATGCCCTATACAGGCCCCCCTCCCCGGCTCTGTGAGGAGGCCCCATTGCTTCTATCCATGACTTGTCCCTTCCCACTTCCTTTTTCTGTCCCTCTACCTGTCCTCCACCCAACGAGCTCCTACTCACCCTTTAAGACCCCGATCAATATCCCCACCTCTGAGAAGCCACCTCCAACTGTGTGCCACCCCTTCCCCCCCCTTGGGGGGGGGGAAGTCCTGCCTTTCTTACACCCCGAAAGCTACCTTTATGGACCAGCCTCTCCCACTAGCTCAGTTTTCTTACCATGGCCCACACAGTCAGATGTATCTTTTCATTGTGATCTAGTCCACACACGCACATGTTTAAACAACTCCAGAAGCTTCACAAACAGTACTTCTTCTGACCATGCGCTCTGCTGTGTTCTGTTGCTTCATTCAGTAGCCCCGAGGACGAAGACAAGGCTTGTCCTCACAGCCAGCTCAGTGGCGGGGCCGGGGGAGCCCCGCCGAAGTGTGCCGTGTTTGTTCGCAGGCTCGGCCCGGTGTGGGGATTCAGTGGGGGTTTCCTTCATGCCCTCCATCCCCCCAGGCATCCCTCCCTCTCCTCCTGTCCCCGCCCTTCCCGTGGGTGTCCAGGCTGTGGGCAGTGGCGTGGCGCCACCTGCTGGGACGGTGCATGTGGTGTCGCAGAGCCGGCCGCTGTGATACCTCGTGAAGGGCCTGAGAAGCGCCTGAGTCCATCAGAGGCTTCGAGGCCCCAGCCGTAAACCAGGGCACCCTGGGCCAAATCGCACCCGCTCCCTGGTTGTCTGTGGCTGCTTTGGAGTTACCGTGGAGCTGAGTAGCCTCCTACAGCAGGCCTGATGGCGCACAAACCCTCTACTCTCTGCCTTTGCAGAAACCTAGTTTAAACCTGGTGGCATTTGGGATCTTAGTTCCACGACTAGGAATCGAACTCAGGCCCCCTGCATTAGAAGCTCGGAGTCTTAGCCACTGGACCGCCAGGGAATTCCCTCACCCAGGTTTAAACAAGCATTTATCACAGGGCGCACAGGGAATGCTAAAGGTGCAAACTGCCAGGTTTGGGACGGTTTTAGCCACCCACAACCTCCACTGTCCCTGCACTTGCTAGGGAGTGAGGATCCAGTCACTTCAGGGGCCAGACAAGGAGTGGCTGTTGCTGCCCGGACAGTAGAGGCTGAGTGACCCCAGACATCAGGCTGTCCTGCAGGTTTGGGTGTGGGGAGGGGCTGACCTCTCTGCGGTCATTTTTTTTTTTTAAAACATTTATTTATTTGGTTGCGCTGGGTGTTGGTTGTGGCAGGTGGGCTCCTTAGTTGAGGCATGCTGGCTCCTTAGTTGTGGCATGTGAACTCTTAGTTGCGGCATGCATGTGGGATCTAGTTCCCTGACCAGCAATGGAACTCGGGCCCCCTGCATTGGGAGCACAGAGTCTTAACCACTGTGCCACCAGGGAAGTCCCCGCAGTCATGTTTTAACTGTCCAGTCCTCGGGCAGGGCCAGTGTGACTTCCAGCCCCGTGACAGTGGGTTTAATCCTCACAAATGTCCCGACAACGGAGTCAGGCACGTTAGCGTTCAGCGACCGCACAGTTCTTGTAAACGGCCCTGCAGTCACCTCGCCATCAAGCGACAGACTACCATGTGATCCAGCAACCCCACTCCTGGGCATATACCCAGACAAAACTCTGATTCAAAAAGATACACACACCCCTATGTTCATAGTAGCACTATTCACAATGGCCAAGACATGGAAACAACCTAAATGTCGGTCGACAGATGAATGGATAAAGAAGATGTGGTACATATATATAATGGAATACTACTCAGCCATAGAAAGACTGAAATGATGCCATTTGCAGCAACATGGATGCAGTTGGAGATTATCGTACTAAGTAAAATAAGTCAGAAAAAGAAAGACAAGCACCATATGATATCACCTATATGTGGAATCTGAAATACGACACAAATGAACCTGTCTACGAAACAGAAACAGACTCAGCGACGTAGAGAACAGACTGGTGGTTGCCAGGGGGAGGGGGCTTGGGGAAGGATGGAGTGGGAGTTTGGGGTCAGCAGATACGAACTATTAAATATAGGATGGACAAACAACGAAGCCCTACCGTATAGCACTGAGAACTCTATTCAATATCGTATGATAAACTGTAATGAAAAAATATTTTTAAAAGGATGTAAAAAAAAAGAATGTAAAATGTGTGAAAATGATAATGTGCTCAAGGGAGTGAAATTGAAAACCACCAAAAAAAAAAAAGAGAGACAGACTCGAATTCCCTCCCCTTAGCTTTGGACTGCCTTAGTGACCAGACCCTGAGGCCCAAGTGACGCCCGTGATTCTGGGGCTGTGCAGCTTCGTCCTCAGCCTCCGGGTTGCTCCCTGGAAGCACCAGCTGCTGCGCTGTGAGATGCAGGCCCACGTGGGGGTGTGTGGACAGCCTGTCATGGGCAGCCCAGCTCAGCCCAGCCTTCGGGTGTCCCTGGGCAGGTGTCAGACCTGCGAGTGAATGGCCCTCCAGGTGACTTTGGCTCCAGCCCTCTGGGTCACCCACCGACTTTTGAGTCTTCCCAGCTGAGCTCCCAGATGGCGCAGAGCAGGGAAGCCCTGTCTGGGCCCTGTCCAAATCCCCGCCTCATGGACCCTGAGGTTACTGCTTTACGGTACCAGGTTTGGGGTGGTCTTGTCACATGCCCAGATGGTTTGAGCGAACGTATTTCACATCCTTATAACCACCTTCAAGGGAAATAGTCTTGCCTCCACTTTACAGACGAGGAAAGAGGTTTCTGCTCAAGTCAGGCCTGACTCCCAAACTCCTCACCACCCACGGTGGCTAATACGTGGCATGCATACTGGGCCATCTCCTCCGGACTCGCTGCAGACATCACTAGTTGATTTGGCACTCTGCCAAAATCCCTAGTCATCTCACCAACGGCTGGTTCCTTGCTGGTCCTCGGTTACAGAATCCCAGCCTATCTTTGGGGGGCATCGTGCCTGGCTAACAGATCACAGCATCTCCCACTCCTGATGTGATTCCTCCTTTAGCCCTGTGAGTCCTCAAGGTGGATTCTGGGCCAGTGTGTCACAAGGGCCAGTAGGACCCCCAGAGGTCGCCACAGAAGCAGTGGACAGCAGTTACGGAAGGCAGCGCAGGGGACTGGCCGGAGCGTGTGCTCCAGACCCAGCCTGCCTGGTTGAGCTCTGGCTCCAGCACTTTCTATCTGTGGGCACCCCACTCTCAGCATGGTGGTGCCTGGCAGGGAGGCCTCCCGCCGCCCCCCACCCCACCCCCACCCCTCTGGAGCTGAAGCTCCAGCTGTAGCCCTGGTACCTGGCACACAGCCGGCCCAGTACTACTTGAGTTGTTGGTTGGTGGGTTGGTTGGTTGGTTGATTAAGTGCCTGCCCTGTGCCAGGCATTCAGAACCGGGGGCCCAGGCTTTGGAGGGAAACAAGGCTCAGCCTGGCACCGCCCAGTGACATCTGCGGGCGTTAGCTCGCCCGGCTCCAGTCCGG